CATGCAACCAAGAGCTAAGAAAGACTCCCAACTTGCTTAGGTCTTGACCAGAGGTCCCATCCCAATGCAACAGTGTTTCTTAAAGTCTTTATGTCCTTTGGATTTAAAGCTTATTGCCTTAGGAAATAAAGAAAGTGAGATGCTTCTTGGAAGAAGATTTCCTAAAAAGGAAATTTTCAAAAAATCAGCGGTAAACGGGTGAGAGTTTTTTTTTATGTATATTATTCTTTATATATTTTATTTTATTTATTTATATTAAAAAAACATGTATTTAAAAGTTGCATAGTAAAACAAGTTTCTTGGTAAGTTTAATTAAATAAACAAAGAGTAAATTTGTATAAAACAAATTTGTATATACTCATTCTATAAATCCAATAAACAAGATGTAAGCTGCTTATTTAAAAAAAAAAAAAAGAAAACATATATTTAAAGGTTGGATTTTTTCTTTAATTATTTTTATAGTTATTTGCTCCACTCTTTATTAATAAAGTTTATTTTTAATAATGATAAACTATTAATGATTAATATATTTCTTTATTTAAATTATTATAAAAATAAATATTATCTTATTTATAAAACTATATCTAATTAATATTAAAAAAATTTCAAAAGTAATATTAATATATTAGATAAAGCTAAGTAATAATTATACTTATCAATTCAAAAAATTTTATAAAATTTTATAATTTTTTAAATATAAAATAATTAAAAGAAAAAAACAAATATATAAATAAAAAATTAATTATTTCTTTATTATATTATTTTTTCAGCTTTTTGATTACTATAAACAATAATATATATATAATATTATTTGTTATTATAATTGTTCTTAATATAAAAAATGAATAATAATTAATAAAATAATTATTGTTATTATTGAATTAATAAATTAGTTTAAACTAGTTTTGTTTATTTGATAAAATTATATAATAAATTTTAATTATATAGTTATCAAATATTAATTAATTGGAAGAATGAATTAATTTTAATTTTTGTAATTAAATAAAATTATAGATTTTTTTAAATAGTATAATAAGTATTACATGATTTGTAAGTAAAGATAAGTTCCTAAATTAAAGGTGAAGACATAATTCAAATGTTTTTTATTATTAAAAAAGTTTTTTTAAAAAATATAAGATTAAAAAAAAACTATCTACAAAAGTTTTTTGCAATTTAGGTCGCTTGATTCAAGTGTTTTTAAAAATATATTCTTATTAAAGTAATAAATAAATAATGATATCCCTTCAAAAGAAATATAATTAATTTACAAAATTTTATATGTTAAATAATAAGTAATCTCAAAAAAACAGTAAATTTAAGTATTTATTATAAATATTAACAAAAGTTAAAACTTTATTAAGATTAAAAGAATATTTTTTTATACATTTTGACTTTATACAATATAAAATAAATAAATAAATAAATTATTTATAATAATTTTAATTCATTAATTTGTAAAATCAGAACAAAATTAATAAAAAAATAATTTTCATTAAATTTTAAGTTGCCTATTTTATTTTTTAATTAAAGAAATTTATCAAAATGTAATATTAATTATAAGATTTTTTTTAAATTTAAATTTATTAATAAAGTATTGAAAAAAACTTTTTATTTTATTTTTTACATTCTAAAAAATATATCTTTAAAGTTTTATAGCAATCAAATAAATAGTGATTTATTTATTGTAAAAAATATTTGTTCAAAGACTTTTTAGACAAACTGTATATAGAAAAAAGTTTTTAATTTATATTATTATAATAATATTTTTTTAAATTTTCAATCAATATAAAAAATTTATCTTTCTAAACAATAAGCACAAATATAACAATTAATTTAATTTTTACAATTTAATTCAATAATAATCAAATTGATTTAAATTGTTTATAATAACAATAGCAATAATGTTATAGAACATATCAATAGTTTTATTAATTAATAACAATATCAAAACCCACCAATAAAATAAATAACAAAAGTTATCATTATGGTTTCATGGGTTCATACAGCATATACAAAACTCAATTAACTAAAATTATTCTATAACTTACAATAACTTGACTGTTTATAAATAAGCATAAACTATTCATAAATTATTTTTAATATAATATGTATCAAAAGTTTTACATACAATAAGCTAAAGTTAACTTAAATAAAAACTTAATGTAATGATAATAAATATATTGTTTAAATAAATCTTACATTTATACTGTTGCAGTAAAATATAATAAAATATTTATTACGTGACCTGTGTGGTCGTCGGCTTATTAAAATTGTGATACGGTTTTCGAATATTTATTATCAATTTGTAATATTCGTGCTTTTATTAACCAAACGGCGCCTACCAGACAATTCCTGAAGTTTACCGTTTTCTGGATTTTTACGAGTACTGCTTGAAGCGGTTGACTTTAGTTTTTCTTTTATAAATATCTGTCAGCAGAGGGGCCTCTCATAGCTATGATGACAATGGAATGTCCGTTATACATAGTACTGTATACTAATTCTGTATGAATTGATCATGTTATAATTTTATCATCATTAATTTTACTATTTACTGTAATTTTATTTTTGAGGCCATCGCAAAATTTTTGCGATGTCGATGTTTTTTGGACCTTAAAGCTGTAATTGGAAATATTAATTATACCGTTGGAAAGTATCAATAATACGTTGGTATTAAATATTGTTGATGACTAAACATTTTTTTACTATGCTAAGGATATTCACAGAAATTATCAGGATATCAGATCGCTAACTCAACGCCTGGATGCAAACGAACTTGTGAATGATGAATTACCATAAACCCTACGAATAAGGTTAGCATTTAATAAAATTTATGGAACAAGAATATAAAAAAAAAAAGTGTTTAGCCCTAGAATTAGCTTCATGTATAATTTCTTTTTCTTTGAAGCCATCACGTGTTATTCAATAATCTTTAGTTTTTTATTGCGTTTATAAAAAATGACTAGAATTGCAGAATGAAACAGATCGCGAAAAAAAAATGGCTTGAAGTTAGAATGGTCTGCAAAAGAAAATATTGAGTTTAGAGAAATTGCAATATAAGCTATCACAAAATAAAGAAAGGAAGTAATTTTATTTTCTAACGAAGTAAGGATGCACCTATATCTAAATTAGATGATGTTGAGGAGACCGAGTAGGTAGATACATTCATTCTAAAAGAACAATATTCGGCCGCTATCAGTGATACGGTCAATTCCTCTCGTAGAACGAATTCTGATATACACCTAAACAGATCGAAATTAATATCTGATGAAGCAGGGCATCGAACATTTGTTCTTCGGGTATACACTGTGTGTCAAGAAAAGGGTACCGGAACTTCTGCATCTTCCGAAAACAGATTCTAGCCACTATGTGACCACCTCTGATAATAATACTCTTTCAGCTAACATATATGATAACACTTCAAATTCTGATGTATGTCATGAGCCTTCATCCAAATACCCTCATCACCTATTTGCACAGAGTTAGAAGACAAGGATGTCGATGAAATCTGGATTCAAAGTATAAGGAAAAGGTTAGTAAAGAGATTATTCAGAGCATTAAGGAGAAGAGACCAAAACCTATCCTCGGATAATGATTTGTTATCGTGTGATATAAAAACCGTTAACAATGTTAACGTTCAAGATCCGAAATTTTCACATAAAAAAAGGCATTTTTTATTTCTCGGAGAGCAGGTCAAAAAGATATTACATTCTTGCTATAGAATCACACTTATCATGTGGAATAAAAACCGTTAACAATGTAATGATCAAGATTCAAAATTATCAAATTATCACATAATGCAGAAACCGATATTTTATGGGAACAGAAAAATATTACAAACCCTACAAAAGATTAAATATAAGAAAATTCATACAATGTTTGTTGCAGGAATTCTCTTTGTATAATACTGTACTCAACTTTGGGAATTCATAGAGTTCTCCAACTCTGCATTCATATCAGTAAATCTCCAGAAATTCGCCCATTTATTTTACCAGAAAATAAATAAGCTATTTAAATATACTGTAAATATGATCCCGTAACTTTAAAAAGGATTAATGGGATAGAATGGCATATGGTTAGTCGGGTCACTTGTAGTGTTGGTAGTATTTCAAGACTCACTACTGTAATCCTCTGTAATTCTCACTGGGATCTATCGATAAATAAACGAGTATTCATGTGTGATGAGTTGCAGCAATTGAAGAACGTCAAGAAGCAAATCATTGAACAGACTTTGATATGAGTCAACGAGCACGTCCTAAACTTTCGCAGTTCTTATATATTGACAAGCAAGTCTCCTTGCAATCATAGTTATATTTTTCATATCACTTTATTTCCTCTTTATTTTTTTTTAGTGAAGGGTGGGAGGGCCAACGAAGCGAAGAATCAGGTACAGTATAAATCGGGAAACGAAGAAAACAAAAACATGATCACATAATTATGTCATGCAGATAATAGCCCTTGCATGGATATCGTCATGCATGGGCAATTACATTTAACGTGTAACCTTGTTTTGTTCCCCTTTAGACTAATACGGTAATAATTAATGAATAACTAACGCGTAGAAGTTATGATCTGCATATGGAGATGTAATAATTTTTTCGCGTGCACGTAACGGTACGTACTGTATGTATTTCAGTATGCCAAACCTTTTATAAATGCATATGCAGGTTAACCATAAATATCAGTAATTTCTTTATAAAATAAAAGTGTTTCGATACAGTCATTATGCGCCAATTAGTATTCTACAGAAAATGAGTAAATTGGACTCTGAGGAATATCAAATTTCGATTGAAGAAGAAATTATAGACCCAAAGGATCATCGAATCTCAATTGATGATAAAAATTTACCGAACATCAGAAAAATTGGAAATTCAATTGATCACAAAAAGTTTCTACACGATGGAAGAAAGGTGGATATTCTTGACTGGTCACCAAACATGGAGTATGTTGTATCTGCGTGTTTTGAAGATAGTTCAGTTTACATGTGGAAATTCATAAAAGGAGAAAGAGAAGAGCCCGGCTTAGATAAAGGAGATCCCAAATCAGGCAAAGGAGAACCCGAAATAAAATTGGATAAAATATTTGACCTTGAAGACATATATATTTTATCGACTCCAGTACGGGTTTCGGATTTCAAAAGCATTTTAATAGGTCATCGTACCAAAACTTCGTTCTGCCTCGGTAAGTTGGCGTTAATTCTAAAAGGCTGTAATCACATCATTTCTTTTCTTAATGTTGTGTATGTGCTGTAATTATTTCAATAGAAATCAGAGATTATACAAACAAGTCAATAATGATATTAGATGCTCAAGATTTACAAGGAAAAATTGAATTATCTGGTTTTCTTAAAAATGGAGAATTGGTGGTCGTTCAAGGATATCCGGTTTATCAGTTCTGCATATTCACTAATAACAAAAATCAGTGGCAATGCACGAGTAGCATCAAACTCGTAAAATTCAATCGTTCCTTTATTTCCCAGGATAGATTGTTGATTCTCACGGATGTACCTTTTGTAATCATGCAATGGGATCTGGTAGAACGAAATTACGAACATCAATACGAATTAGATTGGAATTTGTCCGGGTTTTGGGATTCTATATGGATGGAGCTAAACAGTGACTGCACATTCTTAGCAGTGGCTGGAGTTTTGAGTCGGGAAAAAAAACTCAAAGTTTATTTTTATTCAAAAATACTTAATGCATTGATTACAGAACGTAAGTATTATTTACCGTATGTGCAAGTAAATTGTCTAATTCTATCAATAACCCATAAATTCATTTAACAGAATCGTTTAATGAAACTTACATCAGAACCATGGGTTTCATTAAATTAAAGAAAGATGAGTTCTTTTTAATTTCTTTGGGACAGAAAGGCACGTCTTATTGTATTGGTCTACATGATCTTTCAAATTTTAAAAATCGAATCGAGTCGGTAATCTTCGAATGGCATATGGCCGCCGTAGGAGAGTTGGGTTCACCGAGTGAAAATGATTTTTTGATACCAGGTCATGTGATACGATTTAGTAAAGATCGATTTCGTGAGGATCGTTTTAAAATCGACAGTTTATCTCGGAAATTTGACTTTGAAAAATTCTCTTTACAATTTTATCTAGAAGAGATAAGAGCCACAATAGATAGTTATTTTACAGAATATAAGAATATGGACCAAACAAAAAATACTTTGGAAATGGATGAACACAAAGCATATCCTGGCCATCTGTATACCTGGATTGTTGAGTACTCGAAGAGGGCCGGTATGTTGGTGGCTAGATTAACAGCTAGATATAATAAGACGGATGAAGTTATCGGGATAGCAGATGTAAACTTACATGCGATTAAAGCAGATGAAATTTGTATAGAATTTAAATTACATGCAAACAATGATCTCATGTTGATTTCCTCCTCTACTATACAAAGATGGAGAGCAACTGGTATCCACCGTATTGATCTGATTAATTGTTGGTCTCATCTTGATGCGTATTTCGCATCGAAAACGGCGCAACAAGCTATGATTGAGCAACTTGGTTTACTAAAGGATAAATTAGATTCTCTAGGTTCGTCTCCCTTTTCCCCTTCTCCATATTTCGACCAAATGATCAAATATAATACGATAAACGTGTATATATTTTTAAAAGAGGATTCGGGACTTTTAAAAGAGGATTCGGGATTTTTTAATGAGAATTCAAGACTCACTTATGGAGATTGGCTAATCATCTATACGAATGAAGTCACCCTTCTGGAATTATACGGAAGAGAGCTACTCCAAACATTAATTCAAATGAAATGTGTTGATGATAGTAAGAATATCTTTGAATCCCTTATTAATTATAGTTTAGGTCGGTTTCGGGAAGGCGATTATATTACCAGGTTTATCACCTATATAGACATAATTACTTCGAATCTTTTAAAATTAGAATCACTCGACAAAAATTTTGATTTTACCGAACGTTTTTTATCCAAAACTGCATTATTAATCCCCAATGATTTTTCTTATCTTGTGGATCACTCATCTACTTCAATTCACACCAACCCTTACAGAACTTTTCCATATTTACTTATCACTTCACTTTTCGATCGCCTGCCTTTCTGGATTTCAAGCAGTCTAGAATCTCTAAAAAATTTCAATTTCCTAAAGAAAAGTCATACCTTATATCCTAAAAAAACCGTGAAGTTAATGATTCCTTTATTAAATTTTGCCACCTACCCTGAAGAATATTCGATTTATAAAGAGTTAATTTATCCACCCAACAACCCTTTTACATCGTTAAATTTTCCAGGGTATTATAAATGGCCAAACATCAAAGCTCTTGTTGATTTTAAGTGGAAAACGTACGGGGAAAAATATTATTATTTAATGTGGATAATTTACTCTGCATTTTTACTATGTTTCATCACAATTGCATCAATCCCACAAAATAAAATTCCATGGAAAAATCAAGAAGTTCCTTTGGTGACAACAATTGTCCTTGGAATTCTTCAATTTACTTTTGAAATTCGACAATTTATCCACGGCCCAAGTGACTATCTTTTTAGTCCTTGGAACTGGTTCGGTTTGTATGGTTTCATATTCAATGCATAACTCAATATTAGGCATGTTAGAGTTCTAACTTGATTTAATTTGTAGACCTAAGCGCATTATCATTTCCAACGATAACTTCATTTATATGGCTGATTAATGAAAGCCCACCATTATGGATTATCGTTATTTCCACGCTTGTACTTGAGCTCAAATTTTTGACTTTTTTCCGTGCTCTCGATAACTTTGGAACATATTTTGCAATTATGATTGGAGTGATGCAACAAATTTCCTATTTTATCATACTTTTGGGTATTATTGTTTTAGCATTTGCCCACTCTTTACACCTCTTATTAAGACCAACCACCGAATATTCTTATGATGAACCAAGTTCCGCCAATGATGACAATAATCCTTGGAATCTTGTTACAAAATATGATTCCGTTTCCTCCGATGGTACCATTGGATCACCATCTCTTATTGCAACTCCTGATGCAAACACAAACTTATTTGCAGCATTCGATACCGCCCTATTAGCAGTTTATTTTATGTTAACAGGTATACACATGACATACTGTGTATAATTAAACGATATTAAATATAAGATTAATTACAATACTAATTTTTATGCGTTATCAGGGGACCGAAGTGCGGTCGCACCATGGACTTTGGAAAACAATCATACATTGGCGTTGATATTAGTTTTGTTTTCATTTATCATAGCGATTTATCTAATGAATTTATTGATCGGACTACTTAACACGGCAATTAATGATACAAATAATGAAGAATCACTCTTACACTTGAGGGGAGAGGTGAATTTTTCTACTTGTTATTTATGTATAATAATATAACAATTCTGCTAATAAAAATAATTGTTACTCAAAGATTCTGGCGGAGATTGAACTTTTTTGGATGTGGCCTCACCAGAGAAGAAAGGAAATTTGGTTTCCAGTGATTTTGTAATTTTTTATACACATTACTCATCTATCTATAACTTGAGGATTGATTCTAACAGCTTCTAACACGAAAAAATTTGACAGATATTACGAAGTATCCGTTGATGAACTCACAGAATATGTCAAGAAGTTGGAAAATGTGGTGCCTGAAGAAACATTATGGTCTAATGCTATTAAAGAAATTGTCGGATATAAAATAAAGGTTGACGAAAGGATCAATGAATTGGATAAAAAATTTGATGGAAAATTTACTGAGGTGATTAAATTAATCGAAAAAATAATTGAGGAAGACGATGACGATGATGAAGACGAAGATGAAAACAAAGATGAGGGAGACGAAGATGAAAATGAAAACGAAAACAAAGATGAGACAAAACTAAAAAATAAATGAGATAAAAATAAAAATGAGAAAAACGAGGAATAAAAATGAAAAGGACAAAGGAATTTATTTTTCTATTTAGAAATAATGTTGGCCGTCGTATTGTATTTTTAATTTCTTAAATAGGTTCATTTAAAGATACATTCATTATTTAAGAAAGATTGTATAAGAGATACTGTATTTGTTTTCGTGTCTAAATAATATTTATTTTATTAAACTTGAACATTTGTTAATTAAATTTTTTTTGATAAAATTTACTGCATCTCTTCGATTACATCAAGACTCACGGAAATATGCATTCATGTGAATAGCTACCTTGTTCGACAAATATAAAATCATGAACACTGTATTGTAATAATGACAGTTGGTAACAAAAGTCTGCGCAAATTTGAATTTTATTTTTTAATCAAAAACATTATATTTAGAGATATAAAAAGTAAAAAAAAAATTTTTTTTATGATTAAATTACAATTGAAAGAGAAATAACAATTAAATATCAATAACCTGGATTTGTTTGTCATGCTTCAATTATTATAATCAATCAGTATACATACTGTATATATTGATAGTTAGATCAAGTGCATAATTTTAAGATAATTTTAGCATGTTTTTTTATTCGAATAATTTATGAATTGCCATGAAATATTACTGTTTATTTACTGTAATTTAGATGAATATTATATATACAGTATACAGTATATTTTTGGAGGTAGGTAAATGTCATTTTTTTATTTGATTTGTATAATACAAGATATACTGTATATAATAGAAAAAACAAAATCTCTCGTATTATTTCAATGAACTGAATACTAGCTTACCTAATATTGAAAAGAAATTTTAAAACAATATAGAACAGTCTTTTATTACATTATTTCTAAAGTACAGTAATTATATAAAAAAACAATTAATTTAAAGAAATAAAGTTGGGTTTTTCAATTAAATCACTTTACCTAAAAAATCATAAAACAATTTCTTTCTATTGTTATATAAATCCAAGCTAGCTGAAATAATATACTTGTCAGTCACATACTTACAGTACTTATTCGTGTATGATATAATAATTATACGCAACTTTTGTTTTTTTTTTACTGGGACGTTTGAACATTGCGAATTATACAGAAAACACTTCTTATTGCGTACTATAATAAAATCAAGAATTTTCAATGCTAATACCAAGCAGTCGTTTCAACTCAAACAACTCCCTATCCAGTTCTTTTACATTCCCTATTTTACTCAACGCAAAATCAATCCACCACACACAATTTTTACCCGTTAATTTATTCTCTTTCGCCATTATATTTTCCAACCTAACGTCTCCATGCATTATCCCTCTTATGTGTATTGCCTGTAAACCCTCAATAGCCAATTGCTTCTCCTTTTTTGTGAGCTTATTTCCTAGCTCCGCAAAAGATGTAAAAATAAAAACAAAAGCTTCGTGAAGAACTCCGAATTTCAAAAGCTTTGGTATGTAAATGCCCTGAATTTCTTTGAGGGGTCCGCGATAGATTTCGATTTCATTAAGCATTTCCTTTAGTAAACTCTCATTTTTATATAGATCGACTATTTTAAGAGCACCAGTTTTTCCGAAAAGCTTTGCTGTAAAAACAGTCCCGGATCGACCACTTCCCAACACATCACCAAAGGAGAACTGATTACGTTTATAATTTTTCATATATTTAAGTTGTTTTCCTCTTCTTGACACGTTCTGAGTAATTACTTTCATATGTGTCTTATGTGGTTTAGAGCTTGAGCCATCGTTATCATCTTCCGCCATATAATCATCATTATTATTATTATTGTTATTATTGTTATTATCGTCATCCTCACTGTTTTCTTCGTCAGTAGTAGGCGGTGAAGAGAGTACATTTGGGCTATTTGTAGATAGATTTTCGAAATAATGCATACATTCCAAGAATGAGGCCCGAACAGACGTATGGTTCTGATCGGTGAAAACTGCAGGAGAAATGTAGAGATTGTTTGGATCTTCAGGTTGACGGCAGAAAAACCATGTTCGGACGTATGAGGTAAGCAAGCCAAATCGCATGTCATTAATGACCATATATCCAAACATTTGTCGAACGATTCTAATGATTTTTTGGTATTTAGTATGCACATCTGTGCTATCATCTACCGCTGTTACCGCTGTGTTGTAAGCCATATACAACTCCTCCTCCCCCAACAACGATCTAATTAGCCATTCAGGTTTCACTTCCGCTACTGCGAGTAACCGAGTAAATTCACATCTCAAAAGCTGTTGTGTATTTTCAGCGCTACAACGTATGAAACCGGGATGACCTTTTACAGTTTGCCGAAAAAATTCGCACCTACACCATTTTTCTGGTCTCACTAGATCAATTAATCTTTGCTCATTAAAAACTTCCATAGTTCTTAAAAACCAATCAACCGTTGTATTTTCACTAGCTGAAACGCTTTCTATATTTTTAGGCCTGTTATATTTACGGATATTTGAATTAAGATTCAATGATGCATTAAAATCATAGGTAAGAAAATCCCATGATTTTAATGGATCATTAGGTACTTTTCGCGATGAAGAGAGAGCATTAGTAGTTGTCGTATTTGGGTGTAATATAGGTAAAGGAAGAACTGTTCGGAAAAGTTCTTGTTCTGTGAGAAGCTCTAATTGTATGAATAATATAATAAATCAGAGAATTAAGAAGGGAAAGCATATTAGACACAAGTTAATAAGCAAAAATATCGCGAAGAAACAATAGATTCGGAATATTAAAATGCAGTCAAGCCATATCTCGTTGACCAAATTTATGACTCACCGGTTACAACGGGTGGTTCTACATAACACGAATATGTTTTTTGAACGCGGGTTTGACGATAAGAAAAGCACAAGAATAAGTATTCGGTATTATTGGCAAACATGACAGAAAACGAGAGTTTAAGCAACATTATCTTAGGATGTACCGGATGGAGAGATTAGATATCTCAAATAAGTACGTTTATCTTCATCTGTATCAAAATCATCAAGACAAGATACTGCAACAGCAATTTTTTCCACATTTTCGGTAAAGTGAGAAAGTAAACTTATTTTTTCGCCTGAAACAAACCCAAGACGATTGATTTCTCCTTTTAGAATTGATAGTGGAGACATGTTTTGGATACACAGGTTGTACGTAACGAAAAAAAGATTATTAGCAACTACTTTTTTATTCGAAATCTTATTGGAAGAAGTGTGACAAGCTTTTCACTGTAAAGTTTCGCAAGTTACAGTACATGGAAAAATATAATTTTTGTTAGTCCGGAGCGTAGTGAAGGATGCCCTTTGATGTCATTTCACACTGTCCTTCCGTCACGTGTTAATAAACAACATGACTTCTTACTCGATATATATTATATCTCGCCAACATAATAAAAATTGTAAAATATTGCCTTTACTTGAAAATTGAAAAAAATCACAAAAAAGAAAATTGACAGATAGTACAATACATTATATAAATTTTTTTTAATTATACTTTAATATATACAGAGAAACCCCCTCTATAAATGCACTTATTATATTTTCTCTCTCTAAATACATGGTCAAGCTTGGTTCCAAGTACATAGAACTCTTAATAAAATTACCTCCATAAATGTACATTTTTCAAAAATTTTCCTATGGTCCTGAGGGGTGTGCATTTAGAGAGGGCTCATTATATATATATTTAAAAACAATATTATAGGCAGTAAATTGATGAATAACTTTTTTTATAATAATAGCAAATTTATTAAGAAAATTTAATAATGATGTTTGAAAGATCAAGGTTGAAATAAAAAAGAAATATGAACAGAATAAGCTTAATCTTCAGGTTATGAAATTTAAAGTAAAATCTATTTAATTTTATATTTTTTTAATAATTTAGAAAATACACTACTTGGACAAAAGTATCACATGTCATTTATTTATTAATTACACAAAATTTTACATAATAATTCTATTTAAAATTTTAATATGTTATATTTTATGT